AAACTGAGGAAGATATATCGGCCAATCATTCGGATATCGTGTTTATAGGCAAAGAGAAAAAGGGTGGAGCACAAATTATTAACATAGCATGCCTGGCAATTTTGGCTGTTATGAGGTATAGATGCCGAGGTATAAAAAACTGATCATGGAAATACCAAAGAGCTAGAGAGCAAAAGCGGTAGTTGTTCCATTGCTGATCGGTTCCCTCAAATCAGTGAAAAGGGACCATATCCGCCTACTAAAGTAAATTAATGAAGCGATCAAAATGAATGAATTGCAGAACGCGACGGTGCTAAGAACAGCCAGGATTTTAAAAAGAGCACTGTAGTTCCCTAACCTTTGTTAGAGGATTTAAATGATGTTCTCATAATTCATTGTTCCAATTAAATTCATCAAATTGTTCCAATTTTTCATGGTGGCGCTTATTATGTCCAGCAATGGCACTGGTCGATAGAGTTGAATTTGAAGGAAGCTCCTAGTTTCCGTTCCTTCAGTTGCTTGTCCAATATCTGAATCGATAAAAGAATATTTATTTCCACATATTCGAATGTACCATGCCTCCGTAAAATCATTTTTATGCAACAGACGGAACGGTCTGTTTTAATACAAGACTAAATCTGATAGTTGAATAACATGGAACATCGTTGGCTTCGCTGCATAACGACAGTTGAACGGTAGGATAATGTAACACGCGATTCAATTTATTCCATTCCACGGCACATATCCCAGCTTATCGGAATGCGCGGATTTTTGGTGGTGTCCGCTCACTTTTAGTGTATTGAGTGTGTTCTTCCTGCAAGTAGAGGTTCACTGTCGTTGCTGGCGAAATATCAGTTAATAATTTTGGGTTCTAAGTATTATTAAGCGAAGTCAAAGTTAAATATAACAAATTATTACGTATTGAAATCACATCCTCATGTGTACGCTACAGTCGCACAGGCTGATCGTTTTTCTCTGCCGTAGCAGCTAAAGAAAGGCAGTACGCTTCACTGCTTCACCCTGCTTTGTCATCTCATCTTGTTCTTAGATACCTGTTTATCCTCTGTACATGAACTAAAATTTCGATTTCAAAGAGCGATGAACTCTTGTTTACCTTGTTATACTGTTTATGACATTTATGACATCTGTATTATAGTGTACTGATGAAAAGTCGAACGCTTCTCCTTGGAAGATTAACTGTGATGCATGTGGTTTTCCGCTTCAGATTTTTACTAAAGTACGGTGCAGAACAGCTCGAAATACTTATTCAGACTAATCGCTTTTTAGGGTTCTTTTTGCCATCCATACTTATCACTGGCTTATCTCGATTGGCTAGAGTCTGATTCGGTGCGCGCCTGCGTTGTTGGTGCCACAAACGCCTTGTTTATTCAAAGGAAGGATCTCTTCGACGTTATTGTTGTGGTACATACCATTTTTGCTGCTTGACATCGTTTGCAAATATTTGTGTATCAGCAATTAGATTTGAACTTCGGAAATATGTTAATAAACGTAAACTATAAAACGAATACTTCAGTTGTTCTAGACACACGAATTCAGCACAAGTTCAGGCCTTTATTGGAACTGCCGATATTTCAGCCAAATTATATTGACCATCCTCAGGGCAGACAAAGTCATCGCTGTTAATCCTGAAGATGGCTAAGGGCGGTTGGTTAAAAAGTCAGCATTTCTAATAAAGACTTACTCTGTCTATTTGATATGTCAGGACGGACTGAGGCGTCATTTCCACTGTAGAAAACAGAATTGATATGAGTTCTAGATTTTGACTTATTGGATGTCGCAATCGGTTACTTCTACCCCACGCTTCTTGTCACAGTTTGCTATTGTATTCTGTCCTAAGTAATATCAGACACGATTGCAAGCCAGTCAATGTGTGCCATGTTTGGTTCGTAGTTTAACGAAGCCATCAGTTCTTCTCTGATATTATCCAAGTTGTTTGCCTGCCTCTCAGTCTTTTCCAGGGTGGGTTCGGCACACTATGTCGTTTTTCGTTCCGTCACAATGCATGGCCGAGAAGTGAAAGTTGTAGTTTTTTACAGAAACAAAAACATCAAAAACCAGTTCTAGATATGAAGTATCAATCTAGTCAGTAATCATTTACACGGCGCGATCGAACCCTTTATTCCAGGATTTTTCTAAATTACATGGCTGGTCCTTCCTGGACATTTAAGAATTAAGTCTAATTTTGCTGTGTAAACCTGGTTATTGGAAACTATGCTGGTCATTTACATGTATTGTTATTGATATGTTTCAATTCTTCATCCTGGTACTATCTAGAACGTAAAAAAGATTAAAGCTACCACAACCGTGCATAACGCTTGCCACTCTCGTCCATCATCTCCACAAATGTTGGCCGCTTGAATGCCCCATTGATTTTCTGACTCACGAAAAATGTTGCATTTCATTTTTTGATCTTGGTAACAGTCTTGTTGCTTAAGTAAATGTGCTTCGTCGTATCCGTCTCGTTTATCTCATGTATCAGAGTACCAGTCCGCATAAGAAGAAAACGTAGTCCCAACACCAGTGATAGAAGGGGTCACACGTGCAAGTAAATTACTTATTTAAAGGAGGCACGCGAGTCTAAACTTTTTCTAGCCTGCTTCAAATTTCACATTTGAAACTCTTTTAGGCATTTGCTAATAATTACTAAGGCGTGTAGACGTTCATACCATTTCATCATTCCTTTTGCAGGTAGAAGACAATGACGTGCACATGTCTATTTTCGACCCTGAATTGCGTCGGGCTTTGTCTTTAACGACTGCTGATCTACGTTTTACCGAGTTCATCGTCAAGAACATCTACCAGACGGGAAACACATTGGTCGACGATACAAGTAAGCATACCAATGTTCGTCACTCGCACTGCCGTGTTCTTATTCGTTTGACGAATTGCAGCCTGGGAGGGCAACGACGAGTGGATTCGACAACAGCTTCGTGAGTATCTTCTGGCGCTTCTGCTGACCGCTGGCAAAACCGGTAACGTGAATCACGTGTTGTCTGCAGTTAACCGTTCTCTGACAGATTCCGTTAAGGAAGAGGACTTCAATTCGACCTTCGTTGAAACGTGGAAGTGTACGCACAACTTCAAAACCTGGAAGGCTGGTAATTACCGCGACTGTCTTGAAGCACAACCGAGGTATTTTTATATCCAGTGCTTGATTTGTTACCAAGCCACAAAGCGATTAGTGTGGTGTTTTCTTAACGGCATTTGTGCATTTTCAGGCATCCTTGTCATGGCCAATTGAACGTAGCAGACCTGAAGCTTAAGTTTGTTCAGTAAGTTCTGCTGTTTTTAACACCTGCAGATTTACTGAATCCCGTGACATCGCACCATGTTATTTCGAGTGAATTTGAATTGCTTAGAATCCCAAAGTGTAAGTTGGAGGGAGATAGCTTTCGTTTTATTTACCATCTCTAAGGCGTACTTACAATTGCATTTTTATCGTAACGTCTATTTATCCTGAAGGTATACCTTTTACGTAATCGGGAAGTTTAGCTTAGCTATCAATTGAGAGGCTGTATACTTATGAAGATTGTATTAAAAACGATTTTTGAATTTCACTGATCAGTCCATTCGTCTTCACGATGTAAAATGCCATACCAGTCATTAAAATAGTGAGATGAAAGCATTTATATCCTTATGCAGGCTTAAACTTTAGCATCCTTGCATAAGTAAGGACCATTAATGCTAAAGTGACGGCGATTCAGTTAATGATATCGTGAAAATTAATTCATTTGTTATGTTAATGATGCTTTTGTAGTGAGGTGTTAAATCATAAAAAAGAGCAAAAGTTAGTAACCGTTGAGACTTTGATCTTTCTCACCTTCCGTGAAGTAGCATATGCTATTGCATACCGCGTTATCCTCCCGGAATGTCTTACGTTTGAAGTCTGTCGACAGCTAGGTGGCACCGACAACGTATAGTCGCCTGTTTTCGTTCCACTACGGTGGATGCTTTTTTTCTGACGTAGAGCGCATGAACGGATTTTATCGGAAAGCTACCATCTTCAGGGCCTGCCAGTTTACCGATCAAACTATGAAGCCACTACTTAATTTTAAGCTGAAGCGAATTCGGTTACTGCTTTTTTGTTCATTCTCAACCTATTACCTGTTATTCTCAATATGGCTTAACTGCTTTGTTTATTTTTTTCAATAAACTGCAAAATTTTTCAATGGTGCGGCATTTCTAGTGTCCATGTTATGCCTTTGCTTGTACTTAAACTGTTTTAGTATATGTTGTGTGAATGTTTGCTGCTTTTAAATTCTTACTTCGTTTTGTAGTTCCCTTGAAAGCAGTGACCATGGTCGAAGAATAAACCAAATAGTTAGTCAAACGGGGAATTATGTGACGAATTCAAGTAAACTGTTCGGTGGGTACTTTCGGCTAATTTAAATAAGTTGCCAGTTTCCCGTTAATTAACTCGGCTAGTAATGATGGTCAGCGCTTTACGCTGGGGATACGATTCAATTTAAGTTTTTTGTCATACGAAAAAATAGCGCTAAAACCCACTTGGTGATTGTGTCATCATGTCATTGTGGGAAGATGGTTGGCCTCAATGCCGTTAATTATTTCATTTCATGATGGTCGCTTTTTTATGGTGGTATCATACTGTAGATCAGTTTAGAAAATTTAAATTTTTTAGTTTGCTGAGATTTTGTCGTTATGATGCTAAATATTTTTGCAAATCTTGCTGGTTGTCAAAGTTGGTAAATTTCTCATTTTCATCCAAAAATAGAACGAGATATGGGAATGAGGTAGGATGCATAATCTTGACATTCAGGAAAAAAATTGTTCTGAACAGGTTCTAAGATATAGCGAGCTGAAAGATGGCGTATTTGTGGCCTTGAAAATTTCTGCGACATTTCAATATCGATTTCTTTCAATAACTTATTCTCTTACATTCATAATTCCTTTCTTGATAAAACAGATCTGTTTAACACCATAATGATCTTTTTCGCTTGCTTAACTCCTTTTTCTAGACATTTCTACGGGGACAGCACCCATGACATGTACCTGTCCGTTTAATGGCGATCTAAACGGAGGGATTTTGCATTTCTGAATTTGAAGACATTTATTGGCAGAGGGAGTCAAAAGATGACTAGCGTTTAACCATTCGATCAGATTCTTTGCAGGCTTGACTTAAGGTTATAGCAAACTCATATGCTTAATAATACAATTTCCTGTGTGTTAACTCTCTTCGATATTTTTTTAATGAATAATAAGCACATTTTCGGCGTTCTAAATCATAAGCAATACATTATAACGTAGATTCTTAATATTAATGACTGCAAAATTGGCGTTAGATTATTTATCTCGACTACCAGATGCCGAGTGGGTGAGAAACTGAACGTGACGATCATCTCTGTTAATTTGTGTTGTTATATAACAAAGTCGGTCTACTTAGGTGGTACCGTGAAGAGCGTTATAAATCAAATAATTTCCGGCTTGGGCGAAGATCGGTGACGTTGTAATTCGCTCAGTGAAGCGCTGGCGCTTCTCGGAACCTAACGCAATTTCTTCAGCAGTTTTGCGACGGTTCTATTTCGAGTTAACGTCTGCATAGCTATGAAAGTGTTCGTTGTGACGAGTGATATTGCTTTTTATATCCTTAACTAGTAATCTTTCGAATATGTTTCGTGAACAGGTTTAAAAGCAATCCATCTGTACTTATGTGATGTTCCGTGTTCAGGTGTAAGTAGTTTTATGTTTGTGAATAAAGCAAAATCTAGGTTCGAATAAGCTAGACACTTGAAAATTAATATCCAGAAGAAGATAACTTCACTTCATTATGTTCGAAGCTACAGTTTGCCGTCATAATTTCATTCGCTAACGGACCAGTATTTTCTACAGCAACGAGTAAAGCAGTGTCGCTTTTCGCACTACCCGTTTTCCGAATGCAGAATGAAAACTATTAAGTAAATTCCAAACCACTGAGAACAAAAAATACAGTGCGTAGTTCGACTGGCAAAATAAAGATTTTTGTTATTCTTTGTAATGTTATCGATACGAACGAACTTATGAACGGACCAGTTGTGTTGAAACATATGACCGAACACGCTTGTGCTTAAAAGATCCAGTTCCGTTTGTCTCCGTTAAGTAGTGTCGTGATGACTCATAGAACTAGACCTGCTAGCTTTCAGCGACAGATGACTTTACACCGACGTCTCGCTTGATGTAAGAAGAAATGGACGGTAAAATACTTATGTCCGTCTCAACATCAAATAGTGGCCTATTTATACGGTGCTGAAACAACATCGTTTCTAACGGGAAATCCGATGAATGCATGCATCTCACGTACTTAATGAGAATGACTTGGATGACGGTCCCCTGTTCAACCAGTATATTGATTCATTAAATGATTTCATCCTCCGTAGATTAGCAAGAAAGAGATTACCAACAGCACCATATGAACTAATATCAAACGTGCGTAAGCATGGCGTTTCTGTACCCATACATAGAGATTGGAATAATTTATAGAGGTGATTCTTCGTTTGCTCACCACCACTTGTTCTTTCTGTCATCCAGTTTGTCGAAATGGATGCCTGGTGTCATTTCATGTCGTTCGTTGATCTGTGCGATATCAGTCGTCAAGATCTGGTAAATATATTGTAACAATGTTACCTAAACCTATATATGCTTTGAAAGATTGAACAGTATTAATTACATTCCAAACTGTTCTTGAGGTCTGCCAGAGAATGTGTTTAAACAAACTGATAATAGGTACTGAACTCGTCGAAATCCGCATGCCTGATTGCAAGTACCTACCTTACTACTATAGTTTAGGGTACTATCCATCTCTGAAGAACTTTGCGTCAGAAAAGAAAGTCGTGATCTGCTTAAATGTTAAAGAAGAAATACAGTGCAATACGGTTTCAGAGAAGAAGCAATAATTTTGTGCATCTGGTCGTTGCCATCCGAAAGATGATCATCGCTATTCCGTAAGCTATGTAACAAAATAGAATTCTAAGAATTCTCCGCAAAGTATAAGGGAGATATAATTCAACAGTTACATATATTTTAACCTTTTCTCTTTTGATATGGATTGAAGCAATTTTATAAACTAATTAGCATACTGCTAGTCATCGAAACCGCCGTTAAAAGAAATAACCCTTTCTCTTTCGATAACGGATCGAAGAATTACCATATTTTAATTTTTCAAGGAGTAAATTGGTAAAAGGAACAAGTAGTTTATTCGTACTTTAAAATAGAACAACTCTTAAGGCAACTTAACAAAGAACAGAAGGAAACCGTTACAGGGTTAAGGTCAAACGCCAACCTCCTACGAAGCTCTATGGTAACCACTTTCAAACCAGCAACACTATGATATAAACAAGAATTACGAAACAGCAGAACAAAGCAGCGAGCTCAGTTGATACGCTAGAAGATAATTCAATAATGACGATTCGTCATCGGTTACTACGTTACGACCATGATGATAATACGAAATAAAACAATACTGCATAATATATAAAAAGAACATACACAAACTACATATTCTGCATAATCCTCATCAACGTACGGTGCATCGATCTACTTTTCCGGTCGGTTTACACTTGACCATTGGAACCGAAAAGAGGAACGTGAATGTATCGCTAAGCATGTCACCTAATTGTATATGAAATTCGAAACTCCTCACGAATATACTATCGTACACAACCGTCTAAACGGTAGACATAACACCATGAGAAGTCATACGGATGTCCCTTAGTAAGTGGCCCACAACGGTTTGCGAACCCAGCGCAGACGAAGGCCACTATCGGTGCGGATTTTGATGGAGGCAGCTTCGGCGGCACGAACCGTATCCTTGACGGACTGCATCAAATTCTGCGCGTTTAGTACCAGCTGTTGCATCGCTTCCTGGTCCTCTTCGCTACCTTGAAGAGAAAAGCAAACAAAAATGAACATTCGCGCTGTTGCTGTAAATGGACAAAAGGCGAACTGCAACGTATTAACGAGGCGGCATGCTTTACAAGGTGGCGAAACACGCACGAACAAAAAAGTTGCAAACCAGAGAATTTCTGTTATTAAGGCAGTGCTTGCCAGCGTGCTTTACGAAATTTCCGAAGGAGGAGGTAAAAGTTTCATCAGATATAGTTAAGCTATATTTATTCAGTTATAAATAAAAATACAACAGCTGTATAATACGATCAGATTTAATGCATTTTCGTATAAAAGCAATTAATATACATTAGTTTAATCGAAACGTGTCAAATTATAATACGCGGGTTGTGGCGTATAACAGATAATAATTAAAAATTAATAATACATCGTTAACTAACTTTAAGTGCCGTGCTAACGCTGAAGAATAGCGCTTCACATTTCGAAAAAATGTGACCCGTTGACGAAGACTACAAAAGACAAGCTAAATGAAAGAAACACAGGATGATGCAAAGGCAACTTCTGAACACAATCACGAAAAAGACTGTCCGAGAAGCGCTCAGAAAAATGAGTAACTGGGAGTCGCCTGCCAGATCGTCGGTCCGGGCAGAATGCACGTGTGTTAGCATAAACGAGTAACGTGTTCGAGTCTACGTACAGCAGTGTCGATGCAGTAGCAGTAACATATAAAGATAAACAACTGCCTTGGATAATCAAATCAGTGATATTAGGGATATAGTATTAGGGATAGTGCATCAACAGTAATATGTTTAATCATGAAGGACGAGGACAGACGTAATGTTGATGTGGCCAACTACGGGCCAATGACGTGCCTTACAACGAACTGGAGATATTTGATTTCAGTGTAGTTTACTAATACTTCGAAGCGAAGGCAAACCATTCCTAATTCCTGAACGAAGATACCGCTGCCGGACGAAATCACGGGAATGCAAGGACCAGTGATTTATGAACAACGCATGGCATTGAGATTGCAACACGAGAAAGACAAATATGGCTATGGCGCGGATCGAATACAGAAAGGAGATTTTATCTGCAGCCAAAGTGCTGGATTCTGGCTTGCTTTGAATTGTATCAGCAGCAGGGAAATAGTCTCCGCGTCACGGGCCAGGAATAAACACTGTAGTTTCTCACTGCTTGTCAATTCCTTCTGTAAGGAAGCTATGATTCACCGCAACCAGCTGACAGACGGCTAACATATGAAAAGTAGGCACGATGAATGGTCGAGCCAGATTAGCTCCAGATTTAAAGCTATGTGGGTTGCATCTGTGAGCCTCTACTACTGCTGCATCAAGAGTTGCAGAACATTAAGGAAGCTTAGGCGGAATACTGTATCGTACAGCATCTTGAAAGTAAATGTCTTTCAGAGAAACACACCATAGCACCAAGCTGTCGCTGTTTCTAGATGGTCGGTGATTTTATCTCTGTTTATGCGCTGATTAGAAACGGAAACATTATGGCGTGAATGCCCCGCCTCCATCATCAACGGCATTAGCAATTAATAAGAAGGGTGCACGTCGCACTTGGATTCGAACACCATTTTGACGTGAAATGCCGTAACGACCACGCCCCTGCCATGAATGAGCCCATGCAAAATATTTCGAAAGCTATTTAACAGAACTTATGGTCTCTCCATTTATGATTTTCTACGCTATTAACGAGTTTTTTAATACTGTTAATCACTCTATTAGGTTTTTTTTGCAACATCAAGAGTATATTATTAAACCGAACACAATTAAATCAGTCGTGATTGCAAAAATATCGGGAACCTCTGGTTTATCCAGCGTCACAGCATGCATGAAGCGAAGAAGAAGAAGAAGAAGCATTTTAGTATAACTACGATATTAGACAGCGAGAAGAAATTACTAAGAGCCGAATTTGATCATGCCAGCGAAGAATTTACCATAGGGGATTTCGCTGCCGTCGGGAGCCGGAATTGGCCCTGCAACGAAAGGTCACCGAGTTTAGCATCGTTTAGTTTAAAGAAAGTATCGAGAAGGAAGATGAGGAACGTAAAGTTAACAGTGATAATCGATTTATTTAATACCATGAAAGCAAAGGGCCACATGCGACTGAAATTAATAAATTTTAGCTGGAAATTTTTTTTTGAGAACCAAACGAACATAGTTTGGCTGCAGAAGCGAGGTAATTTCATTGAACAAGGCCGTTTCAGAAAGGTAGACAAACGGTAACGGTCAGATGGCATGTTCTATTGCATCAACATGGGAGAAAAAAGCCAACTTGTTTATTTAACAGCTTTAAACTGCTTTGAGCTCTCTTCTACTCGTGTAGCGCTTCATAAAATCTGGCATAAGTGAAACAGTGCTAATTTTCATCTCAACTACGGCCCTCCGACAGTCTATGTTTGCGCACTGAAGAAAAAATAAATTCGCACTCTTGCAGCGATCCACTACGACAAAGATCATCAGATGTTAATCAGTGCGGTTCCTTCAGCCGTTCATTCATTCATTCATCAGATTTTTCAATCATTTTTGCAAACCATTGCAGAAATTTTGTTACATGACAAAAGTTGTTCACCATTCCGGTGATACAAATAGAGCTGCCAGAGAAAATCCACAGTGGTCGGTTTACAGTAATCATATACTGATCCTTTTTCTGTTTCACGTTTTACGTACCCTTTTGCTGACTAACGGTAAAACCTCTTCCTACATAAAATTAATAAGTACCAAAGCATTTCCGACATCTGATTGACTGTCTATCTTCAAACTGTTAAATCGTAGAAACCAATGCATAGCCATTCAACAAGATGCAACTAAAAGTTCTAGAAAGTTAGGAACCGAAGGTATTAGCTCAAGTAGTGATTCATCTAATGGACAGTACACCGAAATAAAACAAACTACCAAATTACATGTAAAAAGAAAATGTAGTTAAACAATGTCATCGTCATATTCCTTATGATCGTTGTTGCTGAAGTGAGGAGTACGTAAACGAGCTTACCGTCGATAAGCCTGGAGTTACGATGTCACAGGACACGCGTAACTTCGCTAAATTACAAGCCCTATGGAGATACAATTAACTTAATAACATTCCCTCAAAGAAACGCGGAATGCTGAAAAGCCTCTGATCTCTTCGATGGAGAAAGCAGTGCATTTGGGCGTAGAATCAGTTGTTCACAAAACTGAGAATATGAAGCACTGCACCGGTTCACTTCCTTCGATCCACGGCAACGAAATGCGGAATTCTCGTTTCACAATTGTTTCTAATCAGATGCGTATTGTCGATGAAGTGTTCAGGTGCCTAAAACAGACGAGGAAGGATTCGTACCACGTGCTGAACGACAGCATCGCATACGGAAGCATCTCGTTGAAGCAGACCTGCTTTGGACCAGTGTCGGTGGCAGCAGCAGCGGTGAACAACGATTAACAGAAACCGAAGATGCCATCAGGAACAGACCTGACATCAACAATACGAGCAACTACACGCAAGCCTTGTCAGCTTAAGGCGAAAGTGCTAAATACGGCTTTCTTTGTCACGGCTCTCGATTCATCATTTCTTCAAACATCCCAAAGCGGATCCTGCATGACAGGAAACCCTCAGCATAATTTCAGCTTTGAAAGAGATTTCGATTTT